AGACAAGAAGATCACAAATAGACAATTTAATGAAACGACTCAAAGAGCTGGAAAAAGAAGAGCAGACCAACCCCAAACCCAGTAGAAGAAGTGAAATCAACAAGATCAAATCAGAACTAAATGAAATTGAAAACAGGGAAGCTATTCAGGAGATTAATAAAACAAAAAGTTGGTTCTTTGAAAAAATAAACAAAATTGACACACCATTGGCTAAGCTAACGAAAAGCAGAAAAACGATCCTATACAGCTCCATCCAGGAACAAAAAGGAGATATCACAACTGATCCCAAAGAGATACAAGATACAATTTATGATATACAAAAATCTTTAGCACACAAACTGAAAATGTGGAGGAAGAAGATTTCTAGAACACCAGCCTCCCTAGGCTCAACCAGGAAGAAATAGATTCCTTGAACAGACCAATCTCAACAAAGAATGAATAGAAACATCACACACTAAAAGAAAAGTCCTGTCCAGATGGTCTTACACCTGAATTTTACCACACTTACAAAGAAGAAACTAGTACCATCTTGCAGAAATATTCCACAACATCGAGAAGAACGGAAACCTCCGACAACCTTTACGAGCAAAATTACTACTGATACCAAAACCAGGAAGATGCAACAAAAAAAAAAACTACAGACCAATATCCCTAATGAATATAGATACAAAAATTTCCAAAATCCTTAGCTAACAATCCAGACACTTATCAAAAAATAATACACCACAACCAAGTGGGCTTCATCCAGGGATGCAGGATGGTTCAACATACGTAAAATCTATAAATGCAATTCACCACATAAACAGAAGCAAAAACAAAGACCACATGATTCTTTCATAGATGCAGAAAAGCTTTGACAAAATTCAACACCCTTTCATGATACGAACACTTAAGAAAATTAGGCATAGAAGGGACATACCTAAAAATGATACAGCCATACATGACAGACCCATAGCCAACACATACTGAATGGGGAAAAATTGAAATCATTCCACTTAGAACTGGAACAAGACAAGGCTGCCCACTATCTCCACTTCTGTTCAACATAGTGCTGGAAGTCTTGGCTACAGCAATCAGACAGGAAAATGGAATCAAAGGTATCCAAATAGGGGGCAGAAGACATCAAACTTTCACTGTTGCTGATGATATGAATTGTATCTAGAAAAACCAAGAAACTCCTGAACTGATCATGAATTTAGTAAAGTCTCAGGATACAAAACAATACACAGAAATCCAGGAGCATTCATATACGCCAACAACAATCTAATTGAGAACAAATTAAAGACTCAATTCCCTTCACAATAGCAACAAAGAAATTAAAGTACCTAGGAATATACTTAACCAAGGACGTAAAAGACCTCTACAGGGAGAACTATGAAACACTGAGGAAGGAAATAGCAGAGGATGTAAACAGATGGAAATCCATACCATGCTCGTGGATCGGCACACCTCAACATCATCAAAATGTCTATACCTACCCAAACTGATCTACAGATCAATACAATACCTATTAAAATCCCATCAGCATTCTTCACAGATATAGAAAAAATAATTTTACGCTTCGTATGGAACCAAAGAAGACCCCGAATATCAAGAGCAATTCTAGGCAACAAAACAAAATGGCAGAGCATTAATATGCCAGATATCAAACTATACTACAAAGCTGTAGTAATTAAATCAATATGGTATTGGCAACAAAAATAGGAATATGGACCAGTGGAAAGATGTGAGAATCCTGATATAAACACATCCTCATATGCCATCTAATCTTTGACAGCAGACAAAAACATACGCTGGGGAAAAGAATCCCTTTTCAATAATGGTGCTGGGAAAACTGATAGCCACCTGTAGAAGCTAAAACAGGACCCACACCTTTCACCTCTCACAAAAACCAACTTACGCTGGATAACAGACTTAAACCTAAGGTATGAAACTATTAGAACTCTAGAGGAAAAAGTTGGAAACAGTTCTCCTAGACATCGCCTGGACAAAGAGTTTATGAAGAAGTCCCCAAAGGCAATCATAGCAGCAACAAAATAAATAAATGGGACATGATCAAACTACAAAGCTTCTGCAACAGCCCAAAGAAATAGTCATGAATTCAAACAGACAACGCTCAGAATGGGAGAAAATTTTTGCATCTATGCATCCGATAAGGGACTGGAAGACTAGAATATACCTTAGGAACTCACAACAATCAGGAAGAAAAAATCAAGATAATCCCTTTAAAAAGTGGGCAACAGACTTTGAACAAGAAAACTTTTCATAAAGAAGAGCAGAAGAATGGCCACAAACATATAAAAAGATGCTCAACATCTCTAATCATCAGGAAATGCAAATCAACACAATGAGATATCACTTAACCCCAGTGAGAATGGCCTTTATCAAAAAATCTCCAACAATAAATGCTGGGCGTGTGCAGAGAAGAGGAGAACACTCCTACACTGCTGGTGGGCGATTGCAACTAGTTCACACCTCTGTGGAAAGCAATATGGAGATACCTTAAAGCGATACAAGTGAATCTTACCATTTGATCCAGCAATCCCATTGCTGGGCATCTACCCAAATGATCCAATGACACTCTACAAAAAAGATACCTGCACTCGAAGGTTTATAGCAGCACGATTCATAATTGCAAGGCTGTGGAACAGCCCAAGTGCCCATCAATCCAAGAAGGATTAATAAAATGTGGTATATGATATACCATGAGAGACTATCAGCTCTAAGAAACAACGGTGATATAGCACATCTTATATTTTCCTGGTTAGAGCTGGAACCCATACTACTAAGTGAAGTATCCCAAGAATGGAAAAACAAGCACCAGATATATTCTCCAGCAAACTGGTATAACTGAGATAGCACCTAGCGGACACATAGGTACCACAGTAATAGGGTATTGGGCAGGTGAGGGGCGGAGTATAATACATACATAATGAGTGAGATGTGCACCATCTGGGGATGGTCATGATGGAGACTCAGACTTTTGGGGAGGGGGAGAGAGGGCATTTATAATGGAAACTTAAAATCTGTACCCCCATAATATGCCAAAATAAAAAAATAAATAAAAGGCAGAATTGGCGGCATCCTTTACTCTTATCTCTCTCTCATTACCATATCTCAGCAATCATTAGTCAGCACAGAGTTTAAAAACTCAGACTCTAGGCCGGGCGCTGTGGCTCACGCCTGTAATCCTAGCTCTTGGAGCGAGGCGGCGGCGATTGCTCAAGGTCAGGAGTTCAAAACCAGGCCTGAGCAAGAGCGAGACCCCGTCTCTACTATCAAATAGAAGAATTAATTGGCCAACTGATATATATAGAAAAATTAGCCGGGCATGGTGGCGCATGCCTGTAGTCCCAGCTACTCGGGAGGCTGAGGCAGAAGGATCACTCAAGCCCAGGAGTTTGAGGTTGCTGTGAGCTAGGCTGACGCCACGGCACTCACTCTAGCCTGGACAACAAACAGCGAGACTCTGTCTCAAAAAAAAAAAAAAAAAAAAAAACTCAGACTCTGAGGTCAGAATGCCTAGGTTAGAATCCCAGCTGTCTCATGTGACCTTAAACAATATGCCTGACCTCTCTGGGCCCTGATTTTCTCCTCTATAAAATTGGGATAATAACAATCCCCACCTTAAAGATAAGGATTAGGCTGGGCGCAGTGGTTCATGCCTGTAATCCTAGCACTCTGGGAGACCAAGGCGGGAGGACTTCTCAAGGTCAGGAGTTCGAAACCAGCCTGAGGGAGACCCCGTTTCTACTATAAATAGAAAGAAATTAATTGGCCAACTAATATATATAGAAAAAATTAGCCAGGCATGGTGGCGCATGCCTGTAGTCCCAGCTATTTGGGAAGCTGAGGCAGTAGGATTGCTTGAGCTCAGGAGTTTGAGGTTGCTGTGAGCTAGGCTGATGTCACAGCACTCACTCTAGCTTGGGCAACAAAGCGAGACTCTGTCAAAAAAAAAAAAAGATGAGGATCATCCTCCCATATACTTTAAATCATCTCTACATTATTTACAATGCCTAATGTAGATACTATGTAAACAGTGGTTATCCCATATTAGTTTTTTATCTGAATTATTTTTTATTATTGTGCTGTTTTTCTATTGTTGTTTTTTCCTGAATATGTTTGATCCATGGTTGGCTGAATCTGTGAATGTGGAACCCATGGATCCAGAGAGCCAAATGTATGTTTTTGTGGCACAAAAAGGAGCCACAGGCAATACATAAAAAATAAGAATGGCTATATTCCAGTAAAACTTTATTTACAAAATTAGGTAGCAGGTCATTCTTGGTTTCCAGGCCACAGTTTGTTAACACTACACTATACTATAAAATAATCTGAAAGTCATAGAACTAAGCCTTCTAGTTTCTCTCTACCTTCCAGGCCCTACTGCCTTACTGTTGAGATAGAAAAATTGAATCTAGGTTCTCCCATTCTCAAAGCTTCACTAAGAAGACTTGAAAAGTTCATTCATATTATAGGACCTGAAATGAACTTGCTTTCTCCTTTTCAAGAGACTTCAGCCAATTTCAATTCAGATAAAGAAAAGTGCTCTCTGAGTGAACCATCCAGGGCAGTTCATAGGTCTCTATTAAGGAATCAAAGCAGGTAAAGGTTTTTCCTTACCAAAAGGCTTTATACGACAGGCATTATTATCCCCAATCTTTATACAAGGAAACTGAGACTTAAAAATGATAAGTGCAGAGTCTGTTCCACAGTCAATGTTTATGTCTCTGTATTATTCTGACTCCAATATTCTGAACTGATAAAAGTAAAAACTATGGTAAATCAAAATAATTAGCTATGTCTCTTAGAAGTCATATTTCAAGTCACTAAAGGAAAATATTCTGTTTTCTTATAAAAGTAGTGATTCTGTATTTAAATCACTATTTCAAGTATGTTTGTGTATATTTATGCCCTGAGAAATTACCAACAAAATAACAAATCACCAGGAAACCACAAATTCCTTTTTCTGGATTTTGTAGTATCTGTGCTCCTACCTGACACTGGTTAATAGCTGCATGGTTGCCATGGAATGGAGACTGTCTTTCTTTATCTCGATGATGCCGACTGCTGTGTTTACTTCTCTGTAATTGCTGGCGTAATTTTGCAATCTGAAAAGGTAAAAAATAACAAGTACACCAGAGTGTTTTCCACTCTAAATAAAAACATATTCTTACTTAATCAGAACCAGTAAAACTCATCCTTAATAAGTCCTTTGAATTCTTAAACCATACCACAAAATCTGATTTACCGTGCAGAATTTTTATACATATATACATACACATACATATGCTCGTATATATGTATCTTTCTTTTAAGAGAAACAAAATTATGTTCCAACATTGTTCTCAGTCTTTAAGCTTCCTAAGCACAACACAAACTTTTCGGTACTTAGAAAAAATTACATTGCAGCTTTCACAAAGAATTAAAAAAAATAAGAATTTTTCTCATTGCCCTTGCCATAAGTCAACTTTTATTTGGATTTCTTTATTGAACACCTAACCTTCAACAGCTCCAAAAATTATACAGTATTTAAAAATCAATTCCAGCCATGAAATACATTCACAAATATCTTTAAAAAACAAATGCAATCTCAATGAATATCTCATATTATTCCTTTATTGAATTTTTCTTTTATTTCTACATTATGTGTAAAATGCAAATGTCATTACATAGAGGCATGAAAAACTATAATCACAGCATAGAGCCATAATCAACTTAGTTATACTTAGTTACTGAATTTCAGAAACACTACCATATATACAAAAATAATAAATGTGAATTTATTATATCACTACAATTTTATAAAACTGAGGTTTATATTATACTGACAAGTATGGACTCCTCTAAAAAAAAAAAGAAAAAAACATATAATCAAGTAAGTAATGTGTACACTCCTTATTCAAATCTTTTATAAGATCAACACAATAGCTAGTTTTCTGTTATTTCTCAAGTCAAAAAGAAATAAATAAATGGAAAATGACAAATCCTTGCTCCTTACAACTTCAAGGAACTAGTCAACAAAAGGATCAAATTTCCACACCCACTCCCTTAGAACCATTTTCCTGACCTCCTTAAGTTGATCTGTACTTCCCCAGGATGCTGAGCGCTTGTGAGACCCTTTCTTCTTTTCAGAGTATTCTTCAGCCCATGCACTCTCTGTCTATAATGGAAAAAAGAGGAGACGGGTATTTTAATACAAATCATTTAACAATAATGTATAACCATATTTTTTCTATTATAAAATATATTCCCACTACAGAAAAATTAGGTAAGAGAAAATATTTAAAATTACACAAATTACTCATATTTCTTCTACTGTGTTTCCCTGAAAATAAGACAGGGTCTTATATTTATTTTTCCTCAAGAAGACACCCTGGGGCTTATTTTCAGAGGATGTGTTATTTTCCCCCCAAAGCCTCAGCTTGCAGCATGCACAGGATGGCCAGGACCTGACAGGGGGAGTCGACCTTGTTGGTGGGGCTGCCCACACCTTTCCGGTCACCTATGGGATAGCAGCTGTCACGATGGGGCAGATGAGAAGGGCTGCTCATCTCTTTACCGCTCCATGACGAAATGCATGGGTTGTGCAGATACACTGTGTAGCCACGCCCATCATTAGGTCTTATTTTCGGTGTAGGGTTTATATTGTGCAAATGCTTAGAAATCCTGTTAGGGCTTATTTTATGGGTTGGTCTTATTTTCGGGGGAACACGGTAGTACCAAATACTTAATTACAATATTTTAGCCTAGTTCTTTCATTTTTATTAATAAAAAAATAGTAATTATTTTTACATAATTGTAATTATACTATAAATAAAGCATTTGCTGAACAAAGTTAACTATATAGAGATGCATTCTAATAATAGCTAACATTCTTGTGCTAGGCACTGTGCTTTTAATATGCTTTATCTGGTTTAACATATATAAGCTGCCAAAGATCTCACAGCTAGGAAGTGGCAAAGCCAAGAAATAAACCTAAGACTCCAGAGCTCATCATATTAAATTCTATACTATGTCTAGTCTTGCTTAAAGTATTGACAGAGAATACTCCCCCAAAATCTTTAGTGGTTATACAAAACCCAGAATTTAAAAATAGCGTATTAGAAAATAAAATAAAAATGAGTTCTTGGCACATGAAACTATGCTCAATCTCACCCATAATAAGAGAAATGCAAGTGAATACTTCAACAAGATTAAGCAATCTGACAACATAAACTCTCAATCACTGCTGGTGGGAGTATAAATAAGTCAACTACTGCTATCAAAGAACTGCTATCAAAGTTATAAATGCACATACTGTTTGACACAGCAAGCCTCTTTTGGTAATCTATCCTGTAGATATGAAAAATGGACATCTTTATGTATAGAATGATATATTCATATTATTCTTTATAGGATTATTCTTACAAGTAATAGACTGGGACAATGTAAGTAAATTATTTAGACCTGGCTAAATAAATTATGGTCTACCTTTACAACCAAATACTATGCAACTATAAAAAATGAATAAGGAAATTCACAACGTACAGTTATGAAATAATCTCTGTAACATAATGTTAAGTGAAAAACCTCAATGCTCAATACAGTGAGTATAGCAACTACCTTTACAAAGAACTGCTAAAAAGAATATATATGTATGTAAATTATCTCTGGAAGAATACATGGTAACAAAGGAAATTGATATCAATGGCTACCTCCTGGAAGGAAGATCCTACACTGTATATCCTTCTGTATCTCTTGAATTTTGTACTATATGAATGAATTAATGCAAAGCCTATTCAAAGACAATAAAAAGCACTAAGAAAAAAAAATACTGTGCACAAATTGAATATCATTTGTACTTTTTTTTTTTTTTTTGGATGGGGCCTCTGTTGCCCGGGCCAGAGTGCAGTGACGTCATCACAGATCACTGCAACCTCAAACTCCTGGGCTCAAGCGATCCTCCTGATTCAGCCTCCCAAGTAGCTGGGTCTATAGGCGTGCGCCACCAAGGCTAGCTAATTTTTCTGCTTTTTGTAGAGACTTGGTCTTGCCCTTGCTCTGGCTGGTCTCGAACTCCTGGCCTCAAGCGATCCTCCCACCTCAACCTTTCCAAGTGCTAGGATTACAGGCATGAGTCGCTGCTCTGATCTCCTTTGCACTCTTAACCTACCAATTGCTAGTAATAAAATGGTCTAGTTTCAAATGGGAAAGAAAAGGAAAGGTTTTCCAAAATCCAGGAACTGTCATCTTTATTAGTCATTGCCCAGACCTGAATCTCCTCCTTGTAGATAAGAGGATTCCATTCTAACAAGGATCCTTAAACACTCAATGAGAAGGAAGGGTTGCAATTCACCCAACTTTGTACTACTCTATATCGTCTTTCACCTAAACTCCACTTTCACTTTAAGGCTATGAAATGATGTAATAACTCCTAGAGGTGACCCCTATTGTGCTTGTTATTTCTCTCATTAGGGTTACAGGCTCTATATGTTAGTTGTTAAAACAACTGTTACAAAGACCAACATATAAAAAGGACCACAGAGCATAACATATCAAAATCAAACTAAAACCTAAATCAAAGTAATGATCTTAACACTAAAAATTTTTAATTCATAACAAATTATTGCTGATAAGCAGCACAATGCACATAGTTCAGATCACATATGTTGGTGTTAAACCCTATTTAAGTCCCATGTCAGTTATATAACATCTCTATCAACTTAAACAAGATACTTATATAAATTTTAATTTTCTCACTTATAAAAGAGGAATAATGTTATGCACCTACTAAAATTATAAGATGAATTAAGGGAGTTAACATATATAAAAGGTTTAATTTTTAAGCACAGTGCCAAGAACAAAATACTCAATATATTAATTATTATTGTCATCCTATTATGCCAAGTAGTCATAACTAATTTTATCATCTCTATGGTCATGGAGAGATATGAAAGAATGCAAAAAATTTTGTGATCAAAAAAATTAGCTAAGAGTCATAATTTCATGTAAAATGAGAGACAGGATAAAAATAGAGTAAGACATGTTTTATATAATTTTATTCACAAATTCTAATCAAATGTATATGATAACAAGATTTTATAAAACACTTAAGTGGGTAGAAACAAAGCCTGGGTCTTGACAGTAGTCTAGGGGCTGCCATGTCTCTGAGCAGGAGCTAAAGCACTGAGAGTTAAGAGTTGGATCATGTTCTGTTTGTAAATGCCTATGGATGTTATTATTTTTACACTCTAAAAAAGAAACAACTCACATTTTTATATTACTATTTACATTAAAACTTTGGACTAAAATCATGATGAAGAGATTTTTGATAAATATAGTTCCAAATTCAAGAATTGCTTAAAATTTTACACTTGCATTTTAGACTTTAATATAGTATTTAACTCATATCTTACTCGCTCAGGTTCTCAAATAGTTTGAAAAAAAGTTGGCTTATACCTCTTCCTATATAATGGGGGAAAAAACCTTAGATATAAAAGAGAATATATACAGATAATCTCCTTAATATTTAATATATTAAGCAAAAAATAATGTATAGAAATGATATCATGTGTAAAAAAAATCCACCTTTTCTTGTTCTCTTTTTCCCTCTTCAACTTCCAGGAAAGTAAGTGATTTGGGCAAGGGTCATCAATAGATATGAAAACCATTCAGTAAAAAATTACTAGGGGATTATGTATCACAGGATTAGTTTTTTTTAAAAAAGTTACTAGGAGACAGGATATTCATGTGGTGCCAAAAATTAGCCCACAAATTACTTGCTAACTGCAAAAGGGAAAAATTTATTTCCTTTACAAATGTGTACGATAATTCATTTTAAATATAAAAACCCTTAATGTTATTAAGGAAAAAAAAGGATGAGAATGAGCTGTTGTAGATTTTTAAAAGAGACTAAAGAGAAACCAAGTGCAATACATGAATGTTGGATCAGATCCTAATTCAAAAATAAAAAATAAAGACATCTTGGGGAAATTTTAAGATGAACTGATGAACTGGATGTTACATGGTATTACAGAATTGTTGATTTTGTTAGGTGACCTAATGCTACTGTGGGTAAATAGGAAATATTCTTGGGAGATATATGCTGAAATAGTCAGGGATGAAAGTATCATGATATCTGCAACATACTTTCAAAAACTGCAGCAAACACATACACACATAAAACACAAAGATAGGTAAAGCAAATATGACCAATGTTTAAAACTGCTGAATCTGACCACAGTTGTAGTATTTTTTCTTTTATGTTTAACATTTTCATAATAAAAAGATAGAAAGGAAAAAACAGAATCTTAGGTCATATCCACATTTTATAAATTTCATTTAGGACAATTCCATAAAGAAATACCTCTATCAAATAGTACTAGACAAACAATCAAATACAGATAGAGTTACAAAATCATCACTTTGCAACTTTGATAATAATAACTGCTTTAGACAAGAATCATCAACAGATGCTAAAACCAATGGGTGAAAGTTTGTTTGGGAAGAGGATACTTACAGTCTCAAATATTGTTCAACAAAGTACCTATTAGTTATAGAGAGTATCTGGTGGATCAAATTTACCATCACTGACTTCATGCACCTCAGACATAGAGAAGAACACACATTACATATAGTATTCCTGACAAAAATACATAACTTCAATCTAATCAAGAAGAAATAGATAAACCCAAGGTGAGAACATTCAACAAAAATACTGGTCTATGGCCGGGCACAATGGCTCACACCTGTAATCCTAGCACTCTGGGAGGCTGAGGCGGGCGGATTGCTCAAGGTCAGGAGTTCAAAACCAGCCTGAGCAAGAGCAAGACCCCGTCTCTACTATAAAGAGAAAGAAATTAATTGGACAACTAATATATATAGAAAAAATTAGCCAGGGATGGTGGTGCATGCCTGTAGTCCCAGCTACTTGGGAAGCTGAGGCAGGAGATCGCTTGAGCCCAGGAGTTTGAGGTTGCTGTGAGCTAGGCTAATGCCTTGGCACTCACTCTAGCCTGGGCAACAAAGTGAGACTCTGTCTCAAAAAAAACAAAAAAAAAACAAAACTGGTCTATACTCTTAAAAAAAATCAATGTCATGAAAGACTCTTTAAAAAATGTTATCAAAGGCTGAGGAGCTGTCCCAAATTAAAGATGCTGTCCCATGAAGAGACACGACATC